TCCTCATAATCTAGCAGAGCTTTGATTTATTTGCAGTAGTGAATTTTAACATTAAAATACTATTTAAGATTTCCTCATTTCAATTGTATCAAAAATACAATTTAGATCATGATTAGATTATCACCATTAGATTTACCAAATAGTATGATTCAGATCAAATATTAATGTGTTATTATTTAAACTAATTAAGTTGTTTCTGTTCCAGGTAGTAAAACGTAGCTTTAAAAGCAGGAATCTGAAAATGTGCTGTGGTTTTTAGAAAAAATTGACTTAAATTTCACTTTGATGTGATGTGTCACATTAAAACAAAATTTAGGGAAAATATATAAATATAATTTACAGATTTATTTCATGAAAACTGTGTGCAGGTAACATAAACAGAAATATCAAACTCAAGACTTGGGAAATAGGAACGATGGTTACTGAATGATGTTCAGAATATTCATATATTCAGAACATTATACTGTATGTTGGAACACACACATAACTTGAAACAGTGACTTCAAAGTGATTTTTTTTTCTTAAATAAAACCAGAATTAAAGGTGAACAATACATAGATATTTTTAATGCATTACCATTCAGTGTTTTGTAGGCGACTAAAGTCCAGCTCCAACACTTCACTGTCGGACCCTTCCTCCTCACAAACGTTAGAATCACCATCGCTTCCTGAATAATACGGCTCAAATAAATAGGGTTGCAGTCCTTCATTAGAACCAGCTGCTTCTTGTTCATCATTCGAACCGGCTGCTTCTTCCATAACTGAAGATAAATTGCTCAATTTGTCACTGAAATTGCTTACCATGTCCTCTGTTTCTGTATACTCCACCATAGTTGTTTACGTTTTGGGTTACCCGGAATGCATCACAAAAATGCGCCGGTGTTTGACCTGATTTCGAAAGGAAAAAAAACTGTGATAAACAGCAAAGTGATTGAATTTAAAGTATTTTATGAGCAATATTTATTATTAAAAGATTCTGTGTACACAGAATGAAAGTTTAGTAGCTCTTTCTTCTAATGATGTCTTTGTTTTAGCATGTCACAATCACTTTAAGAGGATTCTATTTTTCTAACGATTGCTTTATTTTGTCTAAGGTTGCTTGGAATAAACAGAGTGGTGATCTACAAGACCAACTGTGCCCCAGATCTTGACCGTCTCCTGCAGAGCTACACCCAAGAAGGATTTGTGGAAATAGTTTCTTGGCCCATCGACAAATACATGAATCCATCTCGTGGCTGGCTTTTTTCACAACATGGAGGTGATATACATTACTTCGGCCAGCTCACCACGCTAAACGAGTGCATTTACAGATCCATGGAGCGTTCGCGTTATGTCTTGTTAAATGACATCGATGAGATCATCATGCCGTATCAACACAACAACCTGATGTCTCTGATGGACACACTGCAACAGCAACATCCAAATGTAGGTTGTCCCTGGCCTGCAAATAATCCATACATTTCCTTTATTTTACAACAAATTTGATTTCCATAGGTTGGTGTGTTCCTCATTGAGAACCACATCTTTCCAAAGAAGCACTTCGAGCCAAGTGGAAAGTTTCACCTTCCTCAGTGGAGCGGGGTGCCAGGAATTAATATTCTGGAGCACATTTACAGAGAAGATCCTGATAGAACAATATATCATCCACACAAGATGATAGTTCAACCAAGGTAAGCTGAGAAAAACATTCAGTGGATATCACCCACCACAACAAGGGAAAATGTGAGGTAATGTTTTTACCCATGTGCATGAGCATTTTTCAGTCTGGTAGTACAATATCTCACAAGCAAGAGAAATGAAACTCTTAAAATGTAAACATTTAACTTCAAGATGCCACTATACGCAACTGACCTTATAGGAAACACAAAAATCTCTGTCAGTTTGACAGACATCGAGCTGAAATTTGGTATTAGCTGCCGAGTCATCCTCTAATTATACTTCAACACATTCCACAACACTTTGCCACATTGTGTGAGATTGTGTTTTAGGGTATGTTCAAAACCACAATCTGTTTGTAATTTTTTCAACATAAGATCTAAAAAAAAGGTGTACCCTTCAACTTTTGACTCACCTTGTATATTTAAATTTCATTCATGAATGCACAAAAACTTTTGTGAGCTGTACTGTATATTTGAGGGTGACACGGGAGGGAATTTTTCACTCCTGTTCCTGCCCCATCCCAAACCACAGTAAAAAAATTAATTAATTCTAGTCACACTCCTGGTAAAATGTCTTCCACTTGTTCATTCAGTATAACTTCTGTTCCTGAACTGCTCACATTTTCTTTATTCATTTATTCTAGGCAAGTGTGATTTGATTTTCTCCCCATTTTTTTCTGCTTACTGTTGACTTTGCGTTGCAAATCAATTTTTAACACTTTTGTTTTTCTGCTTTTGTTCTTTGAATTTTGTTCAGAAGCAGCGACCAGAAGCGCACTTGGCTTCTGGGCCGTGTAGTTCCTTAACTTGCATTAAGTGTAGGCTTATTGAAAGAGAACAAGTAAATGGTGACACCTGTCTTATGTTTGTATTTTTCTGTCCTGTCGGTTAGTGTCCGCTCCCATCTGCTCCTGCTAAAATCCTGTACCGTTCCAATCACGTGTTTAATAGTTAAGTTGACTCTCATGAATCGTGTTGGAATAACATGACCCATGGGATTTCCCCAAAAAATGCCAGCTTCTACTGTATAATACATAAAAATTCAATGACAACTTGCTCTCCTAACACCCCTCTGTGTGCCTGCTTCACAGGATGGTGGAGCAGACTTCGGTGCATCAAGTGCTTAAATATTTTGGACCAGAATACAAGGTTCCATTAGACGTGTGCCGGATCATTCATGTACGTGTGGCCCTGAAAGGATTTTTAACACTGGAACAGCTTAATGTGGACAAACGACTGTGGGACTTCCAGGAAAAACTCATTCCTAATGTGGACAAGGCGCTGAAGAGAGTGGGGATGCGGTCAGCTGAAAAATAATGTTGATGAATGTGACATTTGTGAATCAGACATTTGTTGCCAAATTTGAAGCATGATGAATGTACACCCACAGAAGGAACAGGTGAAACACTGGTACTATGAATACTGCACTGATTTGAACACCAGATACAGTGGGGTGCAAAAGTTTGGGCAGCCTTGTTAATTTTCCTGATTTACCTGTATAAATCATTGATTGTTTGGATAAAAAAAAATCAGTTAAATACATCATATGGGGGACAAACACTGATATTTGAGAAGTGAAGAGAAGTTGATATGATTTACAGAAAGTGTGCAATAATTGGTTAAACAAAATTAGGCAGGTGCATAAATTTGGGTACCGTTGTCATTTTATTGATTTTAAAACCTTTAGAACTAATTATTGGAACTTAAATTTGGTTTGGTAAGTTCAGTGACCCTTGACCTCCATATACAGGTGACTCCAATTATGAGAGAGTATTTAAGGAGGGCAATTGTGTTTCTCCTCTTTGCGTCTTCTCTGAAGAGTTGCAGCATGGGAGTCTGAAAACAACTTTCAAATGAGCTGAAAACAAAGATTGTTCACCGTCATGGTTTAGGGGAAGGATACAGAAAGAGTTTTAATCTTTCAGTCTCCACTGTGAGAAACATTGGGCCTCATGCAAGAACCGTTCGTACGCACAGATTTGTTCTTAAACTGTGCGTACGAGTGATTTAGGAGAATTTGTGGCATTCACCAATGTTTTCGTATTCTACGATTTTTTTCAGATACAAACAAAATTTACGAGTGGTCCAGACCTGTCGTATATTTTACGTGAAGTCAGTCTGCTGTAATCCAGACGGGTTTTC